CATGTAAGTTAATGAAATCTGCATTAAAATCGAGAAAATTAAATTTATTAGACAGAAGAGAGTGTTAGCTTTGAAACAAGTCTGACAGATTTTAAATCGGATCTGTAATTTTCGAGATATTGGATTTCATATCCAGTAACCTCGGATTTGTAAAAATTACATAAAAAGAGTATTGAAAAACAAGAGAAAATTAGTGAAAAAGAGATAAATTTAGCTCTTTTTTAATTGGTTGGCGTTCTGCCCCAATAAATGACATTTGTTTCGCTATGACCCTTGCTAGTCTGCTGTGCCGCCCGGTCTCAACTGGCGGGGCTCAACCGGCCGCGCTCAACTGACCCCAACCGATAAAAACCTCCATTATGACAAAACTTAGTCGCCACCCCAATATAAAATATAAAATTAAGGTAAAATAATAAAGAAGTTCATTGTAAAAGTAGTGACCGGAGTATTGTTACACATTTCAAATCCGGATATGACAATTGCGGATACTCAATCTAAAAAGTAAGTGCGGCTGACAGTTCCAAACCCAAATGGTTTCTGAATGGATTCTGGATTGCTACGGCTCCTAAAACTTGACAAAGTTTTTTATATTTTTTAATTTTATATCCGAAATTGGCAATTGTCTTCCTGAGCTGTCATATCCGCAATTGTCGTGACATAGCAATTATCGTACAACAATCCAGGATTTTATATACCGTAAATATCCTAATAGAAGCCTAAAATGGTAGCCCTATTAGAGGCATGTCAGGCTAACTCACGGAAAGGTAAAATCTCGGAACAGAAAAGTCTCGGAATTACCAAATCACGGAATATTTGTAAAAATCACCTTAGTTGCAGCCCACTCAAAGAGACCCTTCGAAAAATAAAGGCACAGGGCTCTATTAGGACATTTAGTATATTTTATTTATCTCTTAAATCCACATGAAGCTTAATTATATTCAAGAAATTAATTAAACATTTTTAATAAAATTAAAGGCAAAAAATATGAATGGGTAATTTATCAGATCCTTATAGACGGGCAAATAATGCTGGAAAAAATTTGGAAATATTAATGTGATTGAGACAGTTATTCGAAAATATTAAGGGAAATGTCGGTAAAGCAAAAAGGAAATTTTGAATATGGTTGAGAAAAGTGCCATTCAAATATTTTGAAAGTAAGTTGTATGAGAAAATGTTTTTAGGGAAGAAAATAATAAAAAGGGAAATCCATAATTTTTTTTCATTTATATGGAAATCCATACTTTTTTCCTGAATTCCTGACCATGAAATATACGAAAAATATGTTTCCATCATTTATGGGGTTTTTAAAATGTTCTTTAAAATCCGTATTTTCCATATTTTTCCCTATCTAGCCGGTGTGCGGACATATCGGGATGAGGTGACAAAAATAATTTCTTGCGTGTTACGTTTGTTCTAAAACATAAAAGCTCTATTCTTCAATAGGACAATATACTATACAAGACCCAGTGGCTATAGGTCCCGAAATCAGTAGGGTAACTGTTCGTACATTGAAATATCCCGATATGTCCGTCCCGATATGTCCGCGTGCCATTTAGCCTTTATATCCATATTTTATGAATATCAATATTTCTCCTTTTTTTAATATTTTGGTCCATATTTTGTCATTTTTTGCTAAATTTTAGTAAAAATTGGCGAAAATTTTGGAAATTTTTGCCCAAAAATTTTATCGAAAAAATTTTTCGATAAAATTTATTTGCAATTTTTCTCATTTGCAATTTTATCTTAAGCGAATTTTATTTACAGTTTTTTAATTTTTAATAAAATTTATGCCAATTTTATAAAAATATTTAGTGTTTATTTTCATATTTATATCCATATTTTGAATTTCATATCCATATCTTATGTCCATATTTTTCGATTTTATATTATTACCATATTTATAATATTCAAATTATTTACAATAAAAAAATAAAATTATTTTACCTCTATAAATTTATTTTATGATTTATTTATTTCTGGATTTATCCATTTTAAATACATTATAATATCATTGTTAATCGTATGGTACTTTTCCGTTATCCCCACCCCCCCCATTTTCCTTCTTCCAAATTTGATCGGCTATTACTTCTTTGCGCTTGATTTTCGAATGAATCTTTTATCAGTCGAAAGCTCTCTATATGTCCTAACTTTTTTCATGTTGTTGGATCGAGTGTTCATAAGGGATGGTCCCCGACGAGGCTGGAAGGGCCACGGGAGAAATGGATTGCGACGGTAAAACGTGGGACGGGGACGGTAAAAAATTTTTACGCGGAAATTTCGGGGAATCAAATAAAATTTTTTTAATTTTTGGAGCCGAAGACGCCAGATTTTATCCCTTTTTGCGCCGATTTCTTGTTCTTATCGAGTTATAGCTTTTTAATGGGGGATCAGACTCGATCTAACAATGTGCAAAAAAGATGTCTCTTATCGAGAGCTTTCGTCTGATATAGGATTCATTCGAATTGGATCAAGCACAAAAAAGTAATAGCCGATCAAATTCGAAAAAAAGAAGTGGGGAGGGTGAGATAACCGAAAAGTGCCATTATATTCTCATTATACCTATCTAAATAATTATATTTATCTACTGATCTAAAGATACTAACTACATAATCTTTGCAACATATGTTAAAAGTACAAATTTTAAATTAGATTCGCGGTTCAGATCTAATATATTTTTATGCCGATTTACTTACAAATAGAGTTGGGGTTTTCGAATCGGGTCGACGTTCGGGACTTTTGTGAAACCGAAAACAGGGGGGTTAAAAACCGGCGAAAATCGAAAACCAATGGCACCAGTTTTTCGGTTTTTGTTTCGGGGCTGGGTTCGGGGCGGGGGAGCAAAATATGGTCGGGGTACGGGGGTTTACAGGAAAAATGGCCTAACTACAGTTTTCGTACCAGGCTCGGAATTGGACGATTTATGTCATTCGAAAGAGCTCGTCGAGCTGAGTCGAACGACACCTAAATTATTCAGCGGAAAAAATTCTGAGTCGAGATATAGGTAGGGCTGAAATGGTCAAATTTCTGGGGGGATTTTTGGGGTGAAAAATTCGAATTATACCTCATTCGAAAGGGTATGAGGGGATTTTTGGGGTGAAAAATTCGAATTATACCTCATTCGAAAGGGTATGAGGGGATTTTTGGGGTGAAAAATTCGAATTATACCTCATTCGAAAGGGTATGAGGGGATTTTTGGGGTGAAAAATTCGAATTATACCTCATTCGAAAGGGCTCAACGAGCTGAGTACACGATGGCCGTGCTTCGCTGCGGTCGTGCTCACTTCGCATGACATATAAATCGTCCAATTCCGAGTCTGGTACGGAAACTGTAGTTAGCCGGAAAAATTTTTAAGCTCTAAAAATAAGCCGTTTTCGGTCTATTTTCGTTTTTATTCAAAAATTTGAGAATAAGGTGTGATTAAATGGTTTTGATGGATTTAAAGTGTATATCAGGGGAGGTAAATAAAATTGGACTGATTAAGGAAGATTTGAAGTGATTAACTGATATATCTGGTGATATAACGGGTTCGAAGGATTAAGGATGGTTCAGGGGACATCAGTTATTAAGAGGATATTGAAGAATTTGGGATTTGGGGGTCGGGCGAAAAAATTCGAAATTTCGAAAATTCACAAAGGAGCAAAAAATAAACCAAAAATTGCCTCTTTGTATCAAAAAATTGTCTTGAGTCATGTTAAATTTTGATAAAACTATTTGAATTTAAGGGATTGAGATTTGAGGGATTAAGTGGATTAAAAGTATTTATGAGATTTGTGGGCCTTAAAAGGACATCGGGGTTTGGTGGAGAGTCATCGAATGAGCATTAATCGCCCCATATCCTCTTAATCTTTCTAAATTCTTTAGTCCTTTTATTTGTTAAATTTATATATTGCTTTTTTGTTAAAATTGTTTATTGATATTTTTGCTTATTGATATTTTTTCAGATTTAAAATTATCGAATTAAAAAAAGATTTTGTAAAGCATATAGCTATTTAATCCTAAGGCTGTGCATTAGGTGGCGTGGTGTAATGGATAACAAATAGATAACAAATAACAATAATGGATAACAAATCAGTTCGGTCTAATGAAGATGATGGTTCGCTCCCAGCCGTCTAATATCATTTTGCATTAGCTGAAGGAGAGAAATAGCTATAGCCCAGCTGCTTTACTATTTAAAAATATTAAAAAATATTTTTTTTAGATATTTCAAGATATTATAATTAAATTTTTAATTCAATATTTAAAATGGATAAGATTTTAATTAATTTACATAAAAATGTTTCTACAACTATTTACCGTTTTCAAACAACGAATCTAATGGTGGCCGTAACAAACAACAAGAGCCCAGTTATTAAAGGGCAGATTTTTTAATGCTGCTGTTGACTATCTTGATTTGATAATCAACCTGGAACCAGTGCTGCAGCTTCGTGACAACATGCTGCGGTAAATTTAATGATTATTTAATATTTACAAAATTTGATAACATTTTGGTTCGTATACCCCTTATTCTAAAGGTATTAAATAATGGTAAGTCAGTCTCAAATGATCAAAATCAACCCACGGTCCTAACTTTGGGCCGAGATACAGACAAAAATCCTGCGCAAAGCCAAAGGTTTTGCAAAATCTTCTTTCATCCCCTGTAGTTTTTCACTTTTCGGGGGTCTGTATCTCAGCCCAATGTTTAGATCAAATGATTTGGTGTCATTTGTTACAGCTCGTTGTGTTCTATAACCTAAGACTGCCATTTTTCAATACTTTTAAGAAGGAAAAAGGTTTTTACTAATTTTTACTGACAAATTTCTTACCGACATAAAAAATTTTTACCAACAAATTTGGTTGAATATCGGGGATATTAAGGCATCTGAAAGGATTAAATTCTAATCCACTCAAACTAAATTTTATATTTGGGAAGGATAATATTTAAAATTGTTTTTATTTATAGGGTTACCAATATTTGACTGAGGTCCATTATGTTAACGACAAAGGAGAAGATTCGGGTGTTATGTTCTCCGAACAAATGTCAAAAGAGCACAATATGGATATTCTTGTTGACCGGTTAATGGATAAACTTTCTTATCCTGAAGGGCACCCTTATTCTTATGAACCTGGCGGATTAGCAAGTGAAATAGTCAAGGATACTGGCAGATTAAGTGAATTAACTGAATATCAACGCAAATATTTCCATCTTAAAAATATGGTAAGTAAATTAAAGCTGAAACATTATTTAAATTTAAAAATTAAATCACCAATTCCTTTTCAAAATATCTCAAATAAATTTTCTAGAATACTACACCTCTCTATTTAATATTATGCTTTTTATGGTACATACTAGGGTTGTTCCCCTTCCCCGAAAGTCGCTGAATTTGAGACATTATTTTGAAAATTCCATTTGAAAAATCCTCCAGTTCCACTAATTTTTTATCGGCAAATTTGGATGATTATTGGGGATATCAGGGGATCTGAAGGGATTAAACTTAAATTCCTTCAAATTAAATATTATATATTGGGAAGGAGATTAATTTAAATTTTTTCTTTAAAGAATTCGTACTATTTAACTGAAGTGCATTATGTAAATGGTGATGCAGACTGGCACGGTTAATGAAGATGAATTAATTGATAAAATTTTACTATTGGAAAGAGAATATTCTAATCGAATTCCTGTCAATTTCACAAGGCCCTTTCAAACAAAACTACCTCTACTTAAAACCATAACACGTGAAGAAAGTATTCCTACGATGAAGAAAAATTAGAAATAGAAAATTATTTTCAAAGATTTAGATTTTTTATTTTTTTTTGTTTTTAATTCTACAATTATTTTTAATTATGGAATATTATTCTTAGATTAAATTTAAAATTTTTATTTTCTTTTTTTCAAAATTTTCTTTATTTAATATATTATTTAAATTACAACTCGGTTTACAATTGCTATTATAAATTATTATAATCTAAAATAGTTGATCTAAAATAGCTTGGATCTTTCAAAAAACCCGAGATATTTAAAAAAAATTTTCAAACAAATATAGGTATTAATGGCAAGTAAGGTTTTTCCTCGATTTTTAAAACTGATAATCGAAAGCCATAGAGGGCCTAGGCTGATTTTTTGGTCAAAAATCCAATATGAAACACAAGATAAAAACATTTTTATGCTTTACTGAATTAAAGAACCTTTATATTGTACACGCTGTAATAGACGTAAGCTTTATCGACTATTTAAGTTGTCCTCAATTATATCTCCTAAACCATAACAGAAGGTATGTGTTTAAATATAATAGTCTGGCTGACCATCCCCTTTTTTTCCTTTTCTATTTTTCATTATTTTTCTCTTATGGCAAATTATCTATCATTCTTAAAAGCTCTTCGAGCTGTGTCGTTTAAACTAAAATCAACCTAATCTGATTTTAATTAACAAAGTTATGACTGTTTATTTTAATCCCATGCAGCGGCACAAAAAGCTTTTTCCAACGAAGATTAACCCTTAATTTTGTTCAAAATCGTCAAATTTAGTCTATCTTGGTATGATTCGACCCAGCTCGTCGAATTCTTTCGAATGATATATAATAGATTATATGGCAATAAAAAATCTTAAAATAGTCTGGAAAAAGGGTGATGGTCAGAATATTACTGTATAAATTGATAAGACTTTAAATTGATAAGAATATTTTATAATATATAATGACAATTTATAAACAAATTAAAAATTTTTCTTTGTTCCGATGTTTAATGACCACTCGTCAAAATTTCGGTACTTACGCATTAACTATCCAAACGTCCGTAAATGTTTGATCCCAAATTTATCTCATCTTTCATGACCATTGTTAACCTATAGAAAAAGATGGGAGAAAGTACTTTTGAAGACAAACATTTGCGGACGTTGTGGGGATTTAAGTTGAAGTGTCAAAAGTTCTTTTTTTCCCATTCAATCTCCTCTACATTTCCCGAATTCCAGAATAATGACAGTACATAATCACGTTCCAGTTGTACAGGCAAGTAGCGTCGTCTTTAGTTAAACGGCCAAGTTGAGATCCTCCTGGATCACACATTCGAAGACAGCGACTTCCGACCTTTTTTTTTAATTATTTTTTTTTGTATTTTAAAATAAGAACCAAAAGTTGGGGAGAATTTAAATCCAAATCTTGACAGCATTGTTGATTATTTCTATTTTGAGATGCACAGTAGAGCACTCCAGAAAGCGATTTTAGACCACAACGAGAATTTAATGATTGGAGAATCTGAGAAGGGTAATAGGGAGGAATATTTAAAGGTTCAATGTTCTATGAACAATTATTTGTTCCAAATATCAATTATTTGTTCATTGTTTCAAGTGAACAATTAATTGATAATTGGTCTGAATGAACAATTAATTGTTCATTGTTCGAAATATCAATTAATTGTTCATTGTTCTGAACAAACAATTGTTTGTTGATCCAACCGAACAATTAATTGTTTGTTCGGAACAATGAACAATTAATTGGTTAGCTAAAACAATTAATTGTTCATTGTTCTGATCAAACAATTATTTGTTTATTATTCTTGTGGAAAAATAATTGTTCTGCCTATACGGACAATTAATTGTTCATTGTTCCAAACGATCAATTAATTGTTCATTAGGCTAGCTGACCAACTAATTGTTATAAACGAACAAATAATTGTTCAGTTTCAAAGACCAATTAATTGTATATGTTTACCAATTTCTTAGCTGCAGCATGATCCGTTTCATATTGACAGAGAAAGTGGCATTCGGGTGCTACAAATTGTTCACAACAAGCAAGAAACAATTTGTTTGCCACCGTTTTGCTTGTACAAGGTTGATAACTTAAATCTGCTGTGCCACATTTTGGCTAAAAAAAATTTTCCAAAAAAATTATTTATAAAAATTTTTAAGCCAAAAAAGACCTCCTCTGTTCTTTGTGGGGCGCGTCTTAAATCTCTCAAACTAGAAGAGGCATTATTTGGTTGAATATCGTCCTGTTCAGCAATGGAGAAATGTGTAAAAATAACGAAAAAATTAATTAATGGGAAAAGTACAATTGTATTAAACATTTGCAATTTATTTAAATAAAATTTGCTATAATTATTAAAGAGATTTACATTTGTAAAATCAGAATTTAAATTTTAATTTTGTATAGAAATTGTCTCTCTTACTCTTGAGTGTATGAGAACGTTCTCTCATATGTCTCTGTAAACTTTTCCGGAAAATAAATTTTCCGGTTGTTATTAAAATTTATAGAAGGAAATTTACAAATTGTGAAAAATGAGAATCAGAATTTGTAAAGATCTTAATTTACAAATTGTAAAAATCAGAATCACAATTTGTTTAAGTCAGAATTTAATTATCATTTTTGAGAATTCAGAATTTACAAATTCTGAAAATCAGAATTCACAATTTGCAAAAAATCTGAATTTACAAATTGTAAAAATCAGAATTTAAAAATCATAAAAAATCAGAATTTACAGATTGTGAAAAATCAGAATTTGTAATTTGAAAAGTCAGAATCAGAATTTACAATTTGCGAAACCAGAATTTACAAATTGTAAAAATCAGAATTAAATCAATTTACAAATATCTGTCCAGAAATGTCTCTCTTCATATTAGTCATTAAAGAACGTTCTCTCTCACTTACGACTCTGCAAACTTTTCCGGAAAAGCTTTCCGGTTGCGAATTGTGAATTAATGTGAATTCAGCATTAAAAATTAAATGTTAGTTCAATCTTTTTCTCTGACCCAGATCCGCAGAGTGCGCGGAAGAATGAAAAGTTTACCTAAAGCAGCTGACCTGTATATAGGAGTTTTTTAAAATCAATTTTTATAATTAAAAAATAAAGGAGAAATTAAAGGAGAATTTTACGGATATATCAAAGTCAGCCAAAATCCACCCCAAAAACCTCCCCCAAAAAACCTCCACCAAAATTCGCGGGAAACTTTTTTTTCTAATTAAATCTGGAAGGAAAAAACAAGCTAAAAAAGGAGATATTTAATTCGATTTCATGGATTATATGAGCTAAAAAATAAAAATGACGAGAATGCCTTAGGGAAGCTGCTTTTACTGCATTAATTGAGAAAAGGATTTAATTGTTGCGTTGCTAACAAGGGGCGCAATCCGAGAAATGGTGAAAATAAATAAACCAATTACAGTCGGACCTCTATCCTAAGAACACTCAATAATGAGTACTTTTCATTTTAGCAGATATACTTAATAATTCGTACAATTTGCGGAGTTTGAACCTCTAGGATACACTTTTCCAATAGTAGCATTCCGTCGTGTACCGTTTTGTCAGTAGTACCGTTCTATCGGTACCATTTTATGAGCGAAAACTTAAGCCGGGCCGGCTATATTTCAATCAGATAAACATGCTTTCCCGGACCCATCGTTTTTGGCTTTGTTTTTGGGCGATTTTGGCGTTGTGGACGCACACAAAAACCACGCAAAAATTTTGGCGCTCATTCCATATAGTTACCATTATGAAATATTTTACATTTATACAGTATGAAATATTTACAGTAATAATTTAGAAAACAAAGCAATTGTTCCTTTTCTCATTACAAATCCTTAACAAACGGCCATCCATCAGCTGTCCATCCCAATCGTTTAATTCCCAATTTGGGTACTCCATTATCCAATCCATCATAATAATGATAAACAAGAATTATCATATTTTTCTTTCCCTTCTTTTTGATTTTTAACAGGCTTTGCCCTCCAGGGCCTATTTTTTGGTCATTAGATGAAAGCAAAAGCATTCCACCTCCTTGAAGCATCGGAACATTTTTGTCGTCTAGATAAGGTCCTGATGGACGGTGGGAGCGGCCGACATGAATGCTGTAGGTGCTTTGAAGACCAGCGCAACATTTGCCGAAGGAAACGAATAAATAGTAGAAATTGCCTTGAAGAGGGATTAAGATGTTGTCATAGGGATATGTGTAGGTGCATATGGTCATATTGTTATCGATATCGAAATCAGGGCTCTTCTTTGGTGTGACCAACATGTGTAGGGGTAAGGGAACTTTGTTGGTAGTGTGAAAGTATCTTTGTTAGGTCGAAAAGAACATCTTTGGTAGTATGAGGGGAACCTCGTTGGTAGTCTGAAAGGAACAACCTTGGTAGGAATAATTTGTAAGGGAACCTCGTTGGTAATGTGAAAGGAACATCTTTGTTAGGGCGAAGGGGACATCCTTGGTAGTGTGAAAGGAACATTTTTGTTAGGGCGAAGTGAACATCTTTTGTAGAGTGAGGTGAACATCTTTGGTAGTGCTGAGGGAACATCCTTGTTAGGGCGAAGGAAACATCCTTGGTAGAGTGAGTGGAACATCTTTGATAGTATGAAGGGAACATCTTTGGTAGAGTTAGGGTAACACCTTTTATAGTCTGAAGGGAACATCTTTGGTAGAGTGAAAGGAACATAGCGTAAACGGAACCTTTAGGTAGGGTGAAGGGAACATCTTTTGTAGAGGGAGAGGAACATCCTTAGTATAGAATTAAATTCTATACCTCTATGAATAATAAAAGGAGCTTCAACGCCACCATCCCTTGAAGCTAGATGATTTCGTTTTGTGCCTAATTTAATTTTGCCGTTATTTGGAATAAGTTCTAGTTGATAAATTCCTTTTGACCATCGAAAATATGAAAAATTCTATTATTATTAGAATTTAAGTCATACGAGCCAAAAGTCAGCCACCAACGATTTTCACCATCCACCAACAAAGTAGGGTCTATTGCATTAAATTGACTCTGTTCTGTTGAACGAAGCACCTAAATGATACTACATTTTATTTTTAGCTAAGCTACTATGTGTTAATAAAAGGAATATGACTTTTCCCAAGGGCAAGTGACATAGGATTCTAATCAAGCCTTAATAGACTGGTTAATAGACTGGTTAATTAATATCAAGGTTAATAGACTGGCACGATCCCGTTTCTCGAATCGTGCCTTGCAAGGCCGAGTGGACCATAAAAAGACATCAAATGAGAAAGATTCAAGGATTTCCTTCTGGGTCATGGATAAAGTGAGAGAACGGATTGATTGTCCAGTTCTTATCTGATATTCATGCATAGTATTGTCAGTTTCGTCGTTTTTCGGTTTTTAAAGTCCTTATGGCACAGTTCCAATTATACGAAAATTTAGACAACTTAAGGGTCAGAGGTAGGAGGGAGAGTAAGAAATGAACTTGGCTCTTAGGGTCGGGTCCTAGCCGACAACAATTTCACTATAAAATCTCTTTTACTTGGCCTTGATCCTTCCAAGAATCTGGCATTCCACTTGTACTTGTTGCCAAGCCAATTATTGCGGTTTTTGTCCCAGTCTTAACGGGAACCTTAAAGCAAGTCAGTTAAAACATTTTCTGTTTATTCTCTCACCGCATAGTAAAGCCAATAAACACCTCCATGGATTGAAATGTCTGGAGCCCACAATTCATTCCAATCCTTCGTTAAACCTCTAGCCCAAGGAACGCCTTTAGAAAAAGCAAATCCAGCACCTTCCCATTCAAACAAATCTGAGGATATTCTAGCTTCTAGGCCGTTGTGAGTTGAATAAATGATAAAATTGCCGTCTTTGAGTTGTACAATGCAGGGATCGTGTAAAGTTATATTTCCGCTAATTTTGTGGGTTTGGGCTGTATTAAAAAATTTTTTAAGTTGGATCATGCATATGGGCAGGGCTGGGCTAATTTTGCATTGCGAATTCGCTTTTTATTTCGCCTAGCCCTGGTAAGAACCTCCAAATTAGAGACCGTATTGAGAATAAATTCTAACAATAATCTCGGTTATCTAGATTGACGACCCTCCCAGACCGGTCTCTATTTCGGCATTTATAGCTAGGCGCTTTTCTCACCACGTACAGGACTACCTAAGTTACCTAGGCGCTGCTTTTACTCACTTTTAATAGATATTAATAACTCAGCTATTAAGCAAAGTATCTCCCTTCTTCCTTACAATTTCTGAAGCAGGGCTGCACGCAAAGGAAAAAATTCCCGCAGCTGCAATCTGAAATCCGCAATTTTTATTTTAAAATCCGCATCCGCATTCGCAATCCGCGAGTCAATAAACCACGTAATTTTCGCAATCGGCAGTCCGCAATTGCGTAGAGCCATGATCCGAAATCCTCGGTCCAGGCAAAGCTCATTACTCAGTGATTATTCTAGAACTTTAACCTTGCCCACAGCTCCACCTACCTCTTAGATTTTGGTTAATTGTTAATGAAGGAGTTTTGGTTAATGAAGGATTTGTTAATGTAGGAGGCAAATTAAACTTCTTATTCTCCCACAATCCAACTACTTTATTCTCCTTTCTATTCAACTCGCTAGCCCCCAATTTCGAAATTCCACAAGACGAAGCTAACAACGAGGCAATAAACAGATTCTTCAAGCAATTGCCCGATTTGTTCCTTCCCCCTTCAACAGAATAATTGAGTGAATTAATAAATATAATTAATAGGAAATATTTTTTGAAGAGCATGTCTAAGTAGGGCTCTGATAAATCCTTATTTTTATAAATATTTTATATAGCTTACATCATTTTGCACTCATTTTACCCTTTAAGTCTTTCAATTTTTAAATTATTTTCACTTATAAAGCCAAGGGAAAGGGCAAAGGAAGGGCAAAAAATAGACGTAATTATGTAATTATATTTCAAAAATGTAATAGTTTGTAAATTTTTAAATATGAGTAATTTGTAGTGTGTTATGTAGTGTGATATTGCCTTGATAAAAAAATTATCAAGAAGGAGATCCCTAAGAAGGAGATCTCCAAGAAGAATGATCCACAAGAAGGAGATCCCTAAGAAGGAGATCTCCAAGAAGGAAGATCCACAAGAAGGAGATCCCTAAGAAGGAGATCTCCAAGAAGGAAGATCCACAAGAACGAGATTTCTAAGAATGAGATCCACATGAAGGAGATTCTCAAGAACGAGATTTCTAAGAATGAGATCCACATGAAGGAGATTCTCAAGAAGGGAGATCTCCAAGAATGAGATTCTATAGAATGAAGATTCTCAAGATGGAGATCCCCAAGAATGGGATAATATGACTGTCTTGCAGAAACGTCTCCCTCAGCTCTTTTTCTGACACAGCTCGAGTTTAAGTGTATACACCTCAGTTCAATTGAGCTCAGTTCAGGCACGAGCCCTATAACTTATGAGTCTATGATTATTTTTTATTCTTGGTATCATTGGATAGAGAATTAAAAGTACTACAAAATACCAAAAAATCAGGGGGTCCAGACTTAACTATCCAGACTGAAGCATTAGGGTTAGAGGCCAGGTTCGGTTCGAAAGATCGAATCGGCATCGAATTTTGGCCCGAAAAAGACACGAATAAAAATGAAGTCGATAAAAATGAAGCCAAAAACTGAGTCGAACATAGGCCTGATTTTAAAACACTAGCCCAATTAGCATCGATAATAGTTCATAAAAAATTTTTTAATTTATAAATCTAATTTTTAAAAATAATTAAAGTCGATTAATAATAAATTTTGTCTCTTTTAGTCTTCAACTTTTGAAGAATCTCCAAAATGGAAAGTTCCAAGAATAGGTAGATGGCCCCATTCCTGTTCCATGCGCACCTATATGTTGTCCTAAAAATTTTTAGAAATTTTTAAAAATTTTTAAAAATTGTTTAACCAGAGAAAAGATCATATTGTGGTGCGGCATTAGTTAGTAAAATTATAGTGAAGATAAATAAGGTAATAATTAATGGATAATCCATTTTTAATGTCGAAGCTAATTGTAAGCAAATAAAATTTCTAGAAAATTACAGTCGGATCTTCGAAAAGCTAAAACAATCTGATCTTATCCTTACATACACACATAGTAGGCATATAGAAAGGTCGATCGAGACGAGAGCTCCCACAATTCTCATAAAACACTCTCAAGCCGATCTTTAGATATATACATCCGCAATATTATAACTAGAGATCGAACTGAGACGAGATCTCAATCAAAAATCTCGGTTATCGATATCGAGAATTTTTCGAGATCTCGATTCTCGTACAGCAATTTTTTTGGTTTTTCGAGATTTTTCGAGATCAGATAATATTCGAGACTGCTATGAGAATCAACTAAAATTAAATAAGATTAGAAGATGTGAGGGGGGATGGCATGCGTCTCAAATTTCCTACGGAGCTGTAATTTCGGACAACCCTGATTGTGGGGGAGGGGATGAAGAGAGTAGTTCCTCTAACTGACAATGAGAGAATTAAATACTATCTCTTCTACATTAGGTTCATTTTATATATTACTTATTGCGTCATTCAAATCAAACTTTATTTGACCTTTTTAAATTAAAATTAAATTGAGTAGGGTGTTCCCTTTGAAGGTGTCCTTATTTTAATTAATTAGGTGTTCCTGTTGGACTGGGCCGTTTTGGCGCAAGCTTATAAGACAGCGAGTTGGTAATCAAAAATGATAAAATTTTGCAATAATAACTCTCGTACCTTTATCTAAGTACTCCAAAAATTTCAGGATTTTTGAGCAAGAATTTTAGAAATTATGACCAAAAATGTTGATTTTCTGAAAAATGCCTAATTTTTTGAGGTATATCGACTATAACTTGAGAAATATTTGATGAAAAATTCTGAAATTTCTGGAGGAGGTAGTCAAGTATGTTAAAAAATTTTGAGAAAATTTTCATGAATTTAGGGTTCGCCTAAGTGTCAATTTTGAGTCTCGCGCCAAAACGGCTCGGCGCCAAAACGATCTCAACCCGTTCCTATTATTTAATAAAAAATATTTTTTTATTTTTTAATTTTTAAACTTGAAGAAAATAAACTTTAATGTTTATTAATATTAATTTAAGAGTAAATCACGAGTGTCTTTTTGTTTTTAATTAAATTTTGTTTTGACCTTATAAGTGTAAACAATTAATTTTTTAAATTTTATTTTATATAATACACAATGGCAAGTATTTGGCTGAATTTAAAAAATAAAAAATTAAAAAAAATTCTGAAAATAAATTTTTTTGAAAAAAAAAATTTTTAAAAATTTTTGGAAAAAAAATTTCATAAATTTTTTCGAAATTTTGAAAAAATTTCGAAAAAAAATTCTAAAAAAATTTTGAAGAAAAATTTTGAAAAAATTAAAAAAAATTTTTTTGAAATTTTGAAAAAAAAATTTTTTTGAAAAAAATAAAAAAAAATTTAGAAAAATTTTTTGAAAAAAAAAATTAAGAAAATTTTTCGAAAAAAATTAAAAAATTTTCCGAAAAAATTTTGAAAAAAAATAAAAAAAATTTTTTTTTGAAAAATTTCGAAAAATTTTTCAAAAATTTCTTCAAAAAATTTTTTTTAACAAGAAAATAAATTTTTAATTTGGCACTTTCTTTGTTAAAAAATAAATTTATTAAATTTAATTAAAATTTTCTACAGTATCGTCTATTTTCAATTTCTTTTCCGGCGCCGAAACGTCCATATTTACACCTTCCATTAGCTTTTCTGTTTCCCCCGTTATTGCTGGGGGAGTTGAAATTAATTCTGATGTTTGTTTTAAATTCTGATTTTCTTCAATGGGAACCAGAAACGATGTTTCTTGTTCGTCATAATGTTGTTGTTGTTCTGACGCAAAATTAAATTGTTGTGTTGTTTTCCCATTTTCATTAGAAACAGGCACACAAACATTTGAGGGGATGTTTTGGGGAACACAAACATTTGTTGTTGACAAACCAGAATTATTTAAAGAAACATTTGCGATGTTTGGGGGAGCACAAACATTTTCAGAATTTGTTGTCAGAACAACAGAAACACTGTTTTTGTCAAAACATGATGTTGATTTTAAATTCTGATAAACATTCCCAGAATCTGTTGTCACAACATTGTTTTTGTCAAAACATGATGTTTGTTTTAAATTCTGATTTTGTTTTTGTTGAAATTCTGAAATGTTTTCTTCTTGTTTTGAATGTTTTTGTTGTTGTGAATGTTTTTGTTGATATTCTGATTTGTTTTCCTCTTCTTTTTGTTGATGTTTTGGTTGGTTTATTTGATGTTTTTGTAAGTTTTCATGTTTTTGTAAATTCTCATGTTTTTGTAAACTTTCATGTTTTTGTTGTTGCTCGTTTATTATAGCGACCAAGTTTTGTTGTTGTTGTTGGCGCTCTGCTGTGGCTAACGCCGTTGCGATGGCTCTTGAAGAAGTTGAGGCACCACCTGGAAAAATTTTTTTTGAAAATTTCAAAAATTTTTCTAACGTCCTCTTCCTCGCCCTCCAATCTTTCCACCACCCCGTTGACCTCCCCGTCCCTTTGTTGTTGTTCGCCTAATAGCTGGAGGAGTACTTGGCATAGGCAACACATCTCCATGCATTGAGGAAGATGAAAAATTGTTGTTCAGATTGTGATGGGGGTGGTGGTGATGGTGATTGTGATGGATACAATTGTTATTTCCAAACATGTTGTTGTTTGTTAGCATTTGGTGTTGTTGTTCGAAATAGGCCATGCCTTAAAGGGTATTGATTTAGCCTGATTATTTCTACTATAAGGTCATCTAGATTTCCCACCGAGAGGAACATTAAAGGTTCCCTTCACACTCAAGTAGAGTGAAAGGAACATCAATGGTAGTGTCCCCTTCACACTAAGGTAGAGTGAAGGGAACATTAAAGTTTCCCTTCACACTCAAGTAGAGTGAAGGGAACACCATGTAGTGTTCCTTTCACATTAAGGTAGAGTGAGAGGAACATTGAAGGTTCCCTTCACACTCAAGTAGAGTGAAGGGATCATTAAGGGTAGTGTTCCCCTCACACTAAGGTAAGGTGAAAGAAACATTAAGGGGAACGTTACCTTCACATTAAGTTAAATGAGAGGAACATTAAAGGTTCCCTTCACACTTAAGTAGAGTGAAGGGAACATTATGGGTAGTGTTCCCTTCACATTAGGGTAAAGTGAAAGGAACATTAAAGGTTCCCTTCACACTCAGGTAGAGCGAAGGGTACATTAAGTGTAGGTGTTCCCTTCACACTTAATTAGAGTGAAGGGAGCATTAAAGGTTCCCTTCGCACCCAAGTAGAGTGAAGAGAACATTGAGGGTAATGCTCCCTTTACACTATAGTAGAGTGAAAGGAACATTAAGGTGAATGTTCCACTCATAGTAAGTCCTTAGGTATATAAAATTGTTTTACTATTCATTTGATGCCCAGAATGTTCCAAATGGCAACAGCCGGGTGTGTGTTGTATTGACGGGGTTGGTGGTGCATCCATACACACAGTTTCGTATAACCCTCTATTTTTGTAGTAGCTATGGACTATTGAAGGGAAGTTATTCTGAAAGAATTAATGCGGATTTAAGATTGGTCTAGTAGCTTATTTAAAGAAAAATCTAAGTAGAGCCGACATTTGCGGACATCCAGTAGGCTTTTGTCATATAGCCCACTTGTATAGAACCATGATACCGGGCAGAGGTAGGTCGGAATTCCGATTTCCGATTTCCGATTTCCGACGTTTTTTTCCTTCCGATTTCCGTTTTCCGAGAATTTTTGAAGCATATTTCTGACTAGAGATTTTTCCAAAATTCTCAAAATTTTCGCCTGCGGCGCAAAAAATGGAAGATTTTTGGCTTAAGGCTCCAAAAAATCCCAAAAATTTTGCCTGCGGCGCTGCAAATGGAAGTTGAATAGTATATCGGAGGATTAGGTTAGATTAATGTGGACTTTGAGTTATATCGTGTGATTACGAGGGGTCATAGGCTCTATCAGTCCTCAATTTTAAACTCCAAATATCCCTATTAATTCTATAAAATATCCCGTCTAATCTACCAAATCCCACAATATCTCTTTTAATCCCTTCGAATTTGACTTTTAAGTTGCAAAAAGAACTTTTACACCCTCAAATTACACTTAAGAAGGCCCATAATTTACCACCTTACAATTTTAAATAAATTTCAGTTATGAAAATAAAAATTTTATTTCCGATTTCCGAGTTCCGACTTTTGAGCCATTTCCGATTTCCGACATTTCCGATTTCCGACATCTCTGACTGTTCCGACCCACCTCTGATACCGGGCAAGACCATATGGTCGTTGTTCCATTTTCAATTTGCCCCCCAAATGTCTTTCTCCGCAAATGTCGTTTCGCAGATGTAGTGCTCAAAGGACGGTGTCCGCAAATGCCTTTGTCCGCAAATGTCGGAGATAAAAGAAATCCCAGAATTTTAAATTACCAAGCAAAATTCCCCATTTCCACATGTTTCCAGCATTTGATTTTGCCCAGAAGCAGAACCTTGAACATCCCCCACATCCCCGCCATTGTTATCCCCTCTATTTATTTCTGTTGAATTGTGCTGTAAAGCTGTAGCAAGTATAGGCTCCATCTTAGCGTGTGTTTGTAATAAATGTTCGAGCATATTTATATATTCTATAGCTCCTCTAAGTATCTCTACCTTAAAAGAATTTTTAATTTAGAAAAATTTTTTGGGATTTTTTCGAAATTTTTTGAAATTTTCAGGTGTCATAAAACATTATTTTGAACGGCTATACCCAGGATCAGTGAAGGGGATGTTCCATTCACACTAGCAATGCTTCACCTCTTACACCAAAGATTCACCTCTAATGTTCCATTCACCCTACTAATGTTCCCTTCAGCCTACTAATGATCCCTTCACCCTACTAATGTCCCCTTCACCCTACTAATGATCCCTTCACCCTACTAATGTCTCCTTTTTACTACTAATGTCCCTTTCACCCTACTAATGTTCCCTTCACCCGTGTAATGTTCCCTTCACACTACTAATGTTCCCTTCCCCCTACTAATGTTCCCTTCACCCTACTAATGTTCCCTTCACCCTACTAATGTTCCCTTCCTCCTACCAATGCTCTATCAACACTCGGGGTTCCCCTCACACTAATTTAAAGTTATTGGAACATTTTTTTATTGATAAAAAATAAATTGTGTTTACTTTTGATACCTTCGGCAACCGCTGGTGTGGATTTGGACATGTACGCGCCTTTACTACCTCAAAGGCATCCTAGGAAAAAAATTTATTTAATCTCCAAAATTTTTTAAAAAATTCCCTCTTACGTTGACTTTGCGTAGACGGCGTCTTTCACGCATTGTTGCAGCCTTACGCCTTTCTACTGAATATTTAGCTGAAAATAAAGTTTCTGGGGTGTTGAGAATTTTTGAAAATTAAGAAAAAATTTTTTAGAAATTTTTTAGGCCTATAAAATTTTTCCAGGAAATTTTGTTAAATTTCTGGCATAGTAAAATTTTTTCTGAGCCTATTAAAATTTTTTAAGCCTAAAAAATTTTTTTATAAATTTTCTGAGCCTAGAAATTTTTTGAAATTTTTTTGAAAATTTTCAAGCCTAGAAAAAATTTTGAAAATTTTTTTGAATTTTTCGAAAAATTTTTGAAAATTTTTTAAGCCTAGGAAAAATTTTTTGAAAAATTTTCAAGCTTATAGAATTTTTTTTCGAAATTCCTCTAAGCTAAAGAAATTTTTTGAAATTTTTTTTAGAAATTTTTTGAAAATTTATTTGAAATTTTCTAAGCCTAGAAAAAAATTTTTTTTTGAAATTTCTGAAAAATTTCCCACTCTTTTTAGTTCCATGCCCATGAATTATATTTAGTGAAGTATTTCCTCCTCCCACGATTACTCCTTCATTATTGGGGATATTGGAAGTATTAGGATCATAAGCAGATGATGAGGGTTGTTGTTGTTGTAATGTTGCGGATTTATTTGCTAAATTAGCTGCTTTGGAAGCATTTGGGACTCGTCTTTTTGGTTCACCTTAAAAGTAAAAATAATGCCCTATTTTCAAGACTCGAGAGTTTCGACATAAAAACGTAAGAATGCCTGATTTCAGGATTTGTGACTGTAGGATCCATTGTATAATATAAATATTCGTGGCAAGGGTATAAGAATGGCTACTGTATTCTCTCAAACAAAAGTTAAGAAGGCAACACCTTCAGACTGACACATGCAAACCCACTAAGCTGGCTTAATGTGTTGCTGTGCTAAGTACTAGGGAACGTGCCGAGATAAAGAATAAATTCAAATTTTCGGGAATTGCGATTCCCAACCCGAATACTATATCATCAATGAGTGACCGTTTGTTCCAATTTCAATAAGGCTTAGTGAACAGTAAAAAACTGCTCATTGGGCAGAGGAGAGGGCCTCATAGACCCTCTCCTATCTACATAAGAGGAGAGGGCCTCAAAGACTCATTTCTACATAGGGGAGGGTCTTTGTGGAAACTGTCTTTCTTATTATGGAAAGGGTCTTTTAACATGTTCTACCTTTAACAGGTCTAATAGTAGTTGTTGTATTCGAGTTGTTCGAATTCCTAGAAGCCCCTCCAGGCGTGTTTTGGCGCCTTAAATGGGCATTATTATTAATATTATTTGTCTGTTGTTGTTCTTGTTGGGGATGTGAAGATTGGGGAGGGGGAGGTCTTTGAATCAAATTTGAATTATTATTAGAGTTTTGATGGGGTTGGACTATAGCTGGAATTAATTCGGTCAGCCGTCCATTTTGTTGGTGAATTTGGTGGACAAAGTCGGCTGTGGGTGAGGGGGAGCTAAAAAAATTTTTTTTTGAAAATTAAAATTTTTTCTGAAAATTTTTTGAATTTTTGAAATTTTTTTGAAATTTTTTGAAAATTTTTTTGAAATTTTTTGAAAATTTTTTTGAATTTTTTTGAAAATTTTTTTGAAAAATTTTGAAAATTTTTTTGAAAAATTTATTGAAATTTTTTTTTAATTTTTTAAAAAATTTTTGAAATTTTTGAAAATTTTTGAAATTTTTTTGAAAATTTTTTTGAAAAATTTTGAAAATTTTTTTGAAAAATTTTGAAAATTTTTTTGAAAAATTTTGAAATTTTTTTTAAAAATTTTTTTGAAATTTTTTTGAAATTTCTTGAAATTTTTTAATTTTTTTGAAAATTTCGAAAAATTTTTTTTGAAATTTTTTTAAAAATTTTAGCCTCAGAAAACTAGAAAAATTCAAATTTTCCAATAAAAATGTTGCCTTCTCTGTTGCATTAGATGCTGATGAAGGATAGAAGTTCCAACCCCATTTATACCTCCCCCTGTTTGCTGCTGCAGAGCACTGCTTAACAGCATTGTTGGAGCTGAAGAGAATGAGCCTAGAGAGGTTCCACCCCCTCCAAAATCTGAGAGATTTTAAGAAAATTTTTTAAACAAAAAATGGCTTAGTTACCCAAATAGCCTGTAGGTCCCACTGTAGCATACGCCGGTGTGGCAGACTGTGCTGGTCCAAGCCCGTCATAATAACCTCCGGTTGCCTGGTAACGATAGAGTTGGTCATAAGCTGGGGGACCTCCTAAAAAAGATAATTTAGACTTAGGGGTAATTAGGGGAAGATTTCTGCTTGGAAGCCTCTTTGAGTTACCATATAACTGATTGAAAGGGAGACTTAGACTTAGTTCCATTGTGTATGAGAGAAGTATGAGAGTCCTTATCTCTCCCAAGGAAAATTAGAAAGAGTCCCGGTTGCGGTTTTTGCAAGTCCAACCTCGGGGGAAACGGGAAGACATTTATAAAAGTTAGAGGTCCTCCTCCCTCTCAAGTATAGGTTAGAATAGGGCCCGGTCCCTGTTTTCTACAAGTTTTCCAATTTCCCGTTTCCTAACCTCGCGGGAAACGGGAGTCGTTATCAAAGACCTTTATGGAAGAGAGAGGGCCTGTGTCTTCACTTCTCTTCAGTATGAGTTAGAGCTTCGGTCCCGGTCATTTACATGTGTTCCCATTCCCTTTTCCATCCTCTCCTCTCTTTCAAACTTCCTTTCCATACTCTTTCAACCCTACTCCATGCTTCTCATTCGTTTCCTCATTCTCTCTAGTATACCTAAGTTAGAAATAGGACCCGGTCCCGTTTTCTACAAGTTTCTATGTCCCTCCCATCCTCCTTCCTTTCCGATTTGCTTTCCATACTCTTATAATTCTCGTCCATGCTCACATTCGTTTCCTCTCTACTCAAGTATTTGTTGTTAGAAATAGGGCCCGGTCCCGGCCCTTCACAAGTCTTCTATGTCCCACCCATCCTCTTCCTTTTCAACTTCCTTCCATACTCTCCTAACCCTCCTCCATGCTCCCCATTCGTTAGAGCCATCAAAAACAAAAATCTTCCCCTCCTCCTTCCATGCAAACTCACCAGCAATAACAGTATAATCCATTGGTGAATTAGCCACAGATGACGCTGAAAAAGCCGTCAGTGTTGCCAAAGTCCCCCCAACATCCAAAGAAGCAGCTGTCAATTGTTGCTGTGTTGATAGACCGAAAACAGGGTCGTACTCTAAAAGGTTGGAATGGGCGTGATGATGTTGGCCATTCATTGGATAAATTGTTGAGTCTTTTTAATTAAAATATTTAAATTATTTAGAACGATTAAATTTTGTTAGGAATTTAATGTTTAATTAAAATTTATTCCCCTTAATAAAGACATCGTAGAAGAAATCGAATCCGGCATTTTCCAAATTCCGAACTCTATTTTAAGTTTTCAGGGTAAAAAACCCTCGACCTGTTAATTTTTTGTGTAGCGGCTTAAAAGCTCTTATTATTCTATATTAGACCCGCCACAGGGAAAAGTTAACCGTCGTGTCCAACTTTAGTACAAAAAAGCCCAATCTTTTTTTACTAAGCTATTCCACTTGTTTCAAGTTAAGAAACCGAACCGATGGATTTTTACAGGTTCTAGGAACTAAGAAAACACTGTTATATTTTTTTCAGGAATATAGCTAGAGATAAGTTAACTTGATCTCGAAATCGAGAATTCATTTTCCATGAATCGTGAATTTATTTCTTTCCTAATCCCTTTCAGATATAATTTTAATTCAAAATCAGAGCTGCACCTAATTTCAAATTTTCGATTATTCTTGGATATGACCAAATGAAAAATTTTTTTAATTTTTAAATTTTTTCAAAATTTGTTCGTTTATACTCTACTTAACTTTATATTCCCCTTAACTATTTTTTCCCCTTAACTAGGGTTGGAAGCCCAGTACGGTCCGAAAGATTGAGTCTGGCATCGAATTTTGGCCCAAAAAAGACTCGGTCGGGTCGGCCCGATAAAAATGACTTAAACGTCGGTCATCCACCCTACCCTTGACCCAGTAGCCTAACACCCTTAAAAAACAATAGGCTAAAAGCGAGGGGTATTCAAATTTGAGGGTATTAAGACTGCGGTCCGAGTGTCTCTCTTTTATTCTATTTTTTCATTCGCAACATTTTTAACCTTTAATTTTTTCAAAATTTTTCTGCCAGTTGGCCACTCTCAAAATTTAATAAAATTTTCTTTTAAATGACCACCTGGTTTCCCTTGTCCAAAAAATTAATTTCTGTGTTGTTTTTTCAAGTTCAACAGCTGATATATTTAACTAAGCCCCGTTCGTTATCAAAAATAGCCAATTGCCATTATTTTTAAGGCCAATTGCCAAGTGTGGTCTCTGACCAAAAAAATTTTTTTTGCTGCAAATTTTATAAAATTGTATATTTTTGGCAGCTGCCACAGACACCTTCTTCCTCTCCCTCTCAAAAAATAGAAGTTTATGTCGTTTTTAGCAAAGGCGGCACAATTCACAATTGTTTCGCCTTGTCGCACAGCTGCGTGACCGTTTATGGCCAATTGTCTTTTAATATAAAAATGAGATTTTAGGGGATTTGGGGGGACAAAAGTGAGGAAATGAAGGAGCAAAAGGTGAAAATCTTTAAATGAGAGGGGGATAAAAATTTTTTTGGGAAGCCAAACTTTGTGGACAACAATTGTGCCCCGTCAGGTAAACAAGGGGCATATTTTTCTAAATTTTATTAGGAGTAATAAACAAAGGGGAAGGACCTAGAGGTAAATGAGAACAGAATGAACATAAAATAATCACAAATGCCGAAGGAGAAATGAAGGGAAGGAAGCAAATGGCCATAAGTTCCCTACACACTAGTAGGTAGGGTGTAAGGAACAAGAGGTAGTGTGTAGGGAACAAGAGGTTTGGCCTAGTGGGTGATTGAAATATTAGTTGCCTGAGAGGATGTATTATCCAAAGAGATTAGACGGATTAATAAGGTGATCCAGAGAGAGGGAAAAGACAAAGAATTGCCGTATGTTCTCTACACACTAGTAGGTAGTGTGTAGGGAACAAGAGGTAGTGCCTAGTGGGTGATTGAATATTAGATTGCCTGAGGGGATGTATTATCCAGTGGGATTAGATGAATTAATAAGGTGATCCAGAGAGAGGGAAAAGGACAGAGAAATGCAGTATGTTCCCTACACACTAGTAGGTAGTGTGTAGGGAACAAGAGGTAGGGCCTAGTGGGTGATTGAATATTAGATTGCCTGAGGGCTGTATTATTAAGAGGGATTAGTAAGGTGATCCAGAGAAAGGGAAAAGACACAGAAAGGCACAGGCTCACCTGAAAGAGAGAGAAAAAATATTTTTTAATCGTCTGCCCCCTCTTTCCCCCAAAAACAACAGTTGGCCCTAATCATTTATTTTGTTCAGCTATTCAATTAATAAGCTTAGTTAGGGAAAAGAAAAAAATCAAGAGTTTAAGCCTTATTCTCTCCATTAATTTAAGTGCCCTTCTCCAATTCCTCCATCTTTTTAATAGCCTAAAGCTTCTTCCTCCTACCCTTCTTTTAAAGACATTGGATACTTTCTCTCTCTCTCAATAAATTTTTGTTGAGCCGACAATTGGCCTTCCTCCTACACCTGATTAGTTAAAAATAAGAGAGGATGAGAAGAATTTTTTCTCTTTGATGTAAGCAGAGTTTTGAGGATTTTTTTGACCAAAAGACGTTGAAAAGGAGTAGGGAGGAACGTGGGCAGTAAAGTTATTATTAAAGAGTGGGCTGCAACTTGAGGAGGCTTAAAAGGCTAGGAGGGGCAGTTTAACTAACAAATAAGCTAAACAAAAGGAATCTGAGGCAAAAGAGGAGGTTGAGGGGAAGAGGAAGAAAGAAGGGATTAGTAAGTTGATCTAGAGCTACATATAAGGGTGGAAGAGGAAGAAGAAGGATGGAAGAGAAGAAAAAGGAGAGGAAGAAGGAGGGAAGAGGTAAGGGAGACAAAAAGAAGATTAATGAGGAAAAAGAGGAAGACGAAAAACATTGAAGAAATTTGAAGAAAGTCTAAAGAGAGAAAAAATAATTCATGTTCTCTACGCACTACCCTCCGTGTTCCCTTCACTCTACTAGAAGAATATTGAAGAGATTGAAGAGAAGTTGAAGAAAATTTTAATAAAACAGTCCAGGAAGAGTAGAGAGACAAAAAAAACACGTTTTCCATACGTACAAACTTTTCTTCCCCTACGCACTTCGTGTTCCCTTCACCCTACCCCTAGTGCGTAGGGAACAAAAATAAAAATTAAACAACTGTTTTAATATTTGCAAAAAACTAGAGAATGTGAGCCTTCAAGTCCATATTATTTTCGTTTTCTACTGTGGCCCCTCCCCTCCATTCTCCCTTAATTTCATTATTTGCTAGGCCTATCTCTTTTACTTAAAATTTTTTCCTTCCTTCTTTTGGCCGCAAATCAACAACAAAATAAAAAATTATGTTCAATCCACATCCTTCATTTCCCCTCTTTTTTCATCCAATTTTACTTTACTACAAAAATTTTTTCTTTTTGAAATACTTCCTCCTCTTAGCTTCCTTCTCCTTCCCTCTCCTTCCCTCTCCGATCCCTCTGGCAACACTTTACAACAACACCGTTATTGAGCAGAAGCTAAATGTACTAGTTTTTTTCTTCCTCTTCCTTGTTCTTCTTTTTTTCTTTCTTCCTTCAAATATTAATTTTAAAAAATTACCCTTCTTTTTCTTTTTTAATACCCTTAATTCGGGACACGCCCAAGTAGGCGAGCGGCCAAGTAGGCGCAAAGCCATAACTACCTGAAAAATTTATGGACCTTAACAATTTTGGTACCATTCTCTTTAGCTCGATGAGAGGAATCGTTTAATACCTTGGTAAGATTCGGAAATTTTGAAGCAAGTTATGACTTTGCGCCTACATGGCCGTGCGCCTACTTGGGCCGTACCCCCTTAATTCACTTATCTAACTCGTGTTCCCTTCACACTACCCCTTAATTTTAAAAACATAAAAAAAATTTTTTCCAGTAAATAATCATTCATTTTAAGCATAATATTTAAAAATACATAATTGAGGAACTAAATTTTTAAAAAATAAGTGATCGAAAATCGACCATTTGTCTGCCAAAAAATTAGCGGACAAAAAATTTTTGCGGACGCAAAATTTCTTGCGGATTCAAGATAGTGTTTAAAAATCGTCTTTTTTATAATTTTTGCAAAATTATAAACAATAAATACACCAAGTTTAACCATAAATCCTTTCCAAAAAGTTTGGTGTAATGTCGGGTTTCCCTTTAAATAAACAAAGAAATGTTTATTTTGTAATAATTTTTACAAAATTCTGCTAAAATTTTCAAATATGTAGATAATTTTAAAATTTGAAAATTATCGTTTTTGAATTTTAAATTTTAATTTTTATTAAAATATTTTTTTCGACTTTTGGGTGTTTCGAGATATGGACCTTTTCACATTGACATTTTGAAATTTGGACATTTTGAGCATATTACCATTTTCTCTCTTTTTTGCTGAGACTTTTTCCGGAGATGCCTGTGGACCGAGATATAGGTCCCCGAAAATTGTAAACCATAGGGGGAGTAAGCTCAATTGTGGGGTGAAAAATTCGATTTTTTGAACTCCTCCCGATGGTTTTTCGATTTTCGGGGACCTATATTTCGGTCCATAGGCAATTCCAGTAAAAAGAGTGGACCCGTTCGACTTAGATGATCGAGACGAATTGAAGGGTATGGGTCTTGTATCGAAACTATAACTTCGGTATACTGTACTATATCCGAAAATTTTTTTCGACTTTTTGGGTGTTTAGAGTTCTGGACCTTTTGAAATATTACCATTTTGACATTGACATTTTGACCAAAAATATTTTTTTAAATTTTTTTCAGGATTATTACACAAATCCAAATAAATATTACTCCTCTCTTTACAACAAAATCTACACTAAAAATTAGGCAGGCACCGAAATCCACGGGAATATCAATCACTCTATTAGCGGAATAGTTGTGGTTTTCCACTATTTTTAATTGATGGATTTATTTTGTTTTATTTTTGTTAAGGATTACAACAAGATTTTTTAAAGTTTTATGGCTTTTTATATGTAGTAGGAAATATTATAAAAAAATTTTATTTAATAAAAATCCGCAAAAATTGTCCGCAAAATATTTGCGGACAATTATTTTTCTACTATGAAATACTGTAAGGCCTCATTACAAGCTACCAAGGTTGTCGTGGGTAAGGGTGGCGGTTCCTGGGAAATCTTCGGGTATCCGGAACCGGAACCGATAACCAAACAGAAAATTTTCGGTTTTCCGGTCTTTTTTTGGTTTCGGATAACCGGAACCGCCAACCTTAGTCGTGGGGCTCAGTTTCTTATATATGAAATTAATTTGAAAAAGTATATACGGAGTAATCACATCAAAAAAATTTTTTTATTTGTTGTAATTGTTTAAAAATAAAATATACAATATTGCCAGAAGTGGAAAAATGATAAAAAGGAAAACCGCTTTAATTAAATAAAAAAAATGGAAAATAAAAAAATAAAAGAAATTTAAAAATCAGAATTTTTTTATAAATCAGAAAATTTTTTCTAAAAATCAGAATTTATTAAAAATCAGAATTTATTAAAAATCAGAATTTATTAAAAATCAGAATTTTTATAAAAATCAGAATTTTTTTAAATCAGAATTTTCAAAAAATCAGAATTTTAAAAATCAGAATTTTTTTATAAATCAGAAAATTATTTCTAAAAATCAGAATTTTCAATTACGAGCAATTAATCGACATTTAAATGGTTGTGGTGCACACTGAAATAATTAGAAAAAAATTAAAATTAATTTAAAAAATTAAATTTACAGTTAATCCATATATTCTTTTAGTAGAAGGAAGTGTGTCCTCACTTTCAGGGAGAAATTTAAAATTTTTTATTAGATAGGCAAAGATAAAGAAAAGCTCTGCACGTGCCAAACTCTCTCCGAGGCATTGCCTGTTTAAAATTAAAAGTTAATTCAAAAGGGAAAATAATAAAGATAATCAGAATAATGAAAAATCAGAATTTTTTTAAATCAGAATATTCAAAAATCAGAATTAAAAAAATCAGAATTTAAAAAATCAGAATTATTAAAAATCAGAATTTTAAAACCAGAATCTTCAAAAATCATAAATTCAAAATCAGAATTTTCAAAAATCAGAATTTAAAAAATCAGAATTTAAAAAATCAGAATTATTAAAAATCATTATTTTAAAAATTAGAATTTTTTTAAAAACCAGAATTTAAAAATCAGAAGTATTAAAAACCAGAATTATTAAAAATCAGAATCTTTAAAATCAGAATTTTAAAAATCAGAGTTTCCAAAAATCAGAATTTTTAAAAACCAGAATATCCAAAAATTAAAATCAGAATTTAAAAAATCAGAAGTATTTAAAATCAGAAATATTAAAAATCAGAATTTCTAGAAATCAGAATTTCTAGAAATCAAAACCTGAATTTTAGAAATCAGAAGTTCAAAAATAAGAATCTAAAAAATCAAAATCAGAATTTATTATAATCAGAATTTTTAGGAAACAGAATATTTTAAAATCAGAATTATTAAAAATCAGAATTACCGTTTCCCAATAGAAAAAGGCAGAAACGCATCAACCTTCTTAGGCATTAATTCCCCAAATTTATTAATTTCAATAAAACGTTCCGGATTAAATTTTTCTGGCTCATAAAAATAAGCAGAGTCATTCATTGTTACTGTTAATTTTTAAATAAAAATCAGAATTTTTTTTTAATTTACTTGAAATTTGGGGCAAAACCATTGTGCCAGCTTTAAAATGGAAGTTATCTACTTGAATATCTTCTAGGCATGTACGTAATAAATTTATGGGTAAAATGTTGGCGATACGTTGGATTTCCTGAATTTTATGAATTTCTGAATTTATTTTATTAGAAATTTTCAGAATTTTTTCAGAATTTTATGGATATTTCAGAAAAATATTTTTTTAAACATATAATAATTTTTTTTCAGAATAATTTTTCCAGAATCAGAATTTTTCAAAAATTTTCAGAATTTTTTTCATATCAGAATTTTCAGAAATTTCAGAGAATTTTCAGAATTATTCTGATGTCTTTAGAATTTTCCAGAATATTTTTCAGAATTTTTTTCAGAATTTTTTCAGAATATTCTGATCTCTTCAGAATTTTCCAGAATATTTTTCAGAAATTTTTCAGATTTTTTCAGAATTTTATTTTCAGAATTATTCTGATTTTCAGACTCTTGAAAAATTTTATCAGAATTTTTTTCAGAATTCTTCTCACACATATCGTAGCACTCAAATAGACCAATTTATTCCTGTCCTTCAACTCAGGCTCGTTTTGCCCCAATTTTGTATTAATTTCTTCAAAACACCTTTCCTGTACTTGAGGGTGTAATATCAAAAAAATTAGGCCTTAAATCTAATTTTAATTATTTAAATTTAATTAACCCCATTTTGTAGTGGTTACGGTAGTCTCGCTTCCAGCAAAAAATAAATCCAGCAGAAGCATTTTTAACTGTTTCTTGCTTAAAAAATTTATTTGAAGTAAAATTGGAAGAGGAAAGTGAAGCAAATTTAAATCAGAATAATTTTTAAAAAAATCAGAATTTTAATTTCAAAATTTTTAAATATTCAGAATTATTATTTATAGTATTCTGACTTGTTTATTTAATTAATTCTGATATAAATTATATAAAATCAGAATAATAAAAACAGAAATTATTAAAAATCAGAATCATAATAATTTAGAATTCAGAATTAATAAATTAATAAAAATCAGAATTAGAAATCTCAGAAGCGAATCAGAATTATTAATTCTGATTATTATAATAAACCAGAATTTTATTTACTTATAATTATGTAATGAAATACACAAAATCAGAATGTTTTATTTATTAGTTAAGTTATAAATCAGAATTATTAATTCTGATTCTTGTATTTTTATTAATTCTGGTTTTATTTAATTATAATTAAATTCTGATTTTATGTACCTTATTATGTACCTATTTTATTTTATAATAAATTCTGATTTTTGTATAATTATATCAGAATTATTTTTTATTAATTCTGAAATAAAATAAACAAAATTCAGAATTTCTTATTATAATAAAAAATCAGTAATAAAAATATAAAGATCAGAATTAATAATTCTGACTTTTGCATTTCTATAATTCTGATTTTATTTAATTTAAAAAATTCTGATTTTTGTGTATTTATATCAGAATCCTTATTTTATTAATTCTGATACGTAAATAAAAAATCAGAATTTATTATAATGAAAAATCAGAAATAATAAATATATAAAAGTCAGAATTAATAATTCTGATTATTTTAAATAAGTTAAGTTTTCATTATTAATTCTGATTTAATTACGTATCAGAATTATTAATTCTGATTTTTGTATTTTTATTAATTCTGATTTTATTTTATCATAATTAATACTGATTTTTGTGTGTTAATATCAGAATTATTTTTTTATTTAATTCTGAAATAGAATAAACAAAAATCAGAATTCTGATTTATAATTTAATAATTATAAATCTGAATTTACATATCAGAATTATAAATTCTGATATTCGTTTTAATTGACTTTAAGTTCTAATTTTATTCTGATTTTTGTTGAGTTATTAATTCTGATTTTTTGTATTTTATTCTTGTATTTTTATATCAGAATTTATTTAATTTACCTAAAATACCCCAAATCACCCTCATTTCCATTTTCCTCATTTTTAATTTTTCTCCTCTCCATTTCATTTAAATAAGCAAAAATAAAATCAGAAGAATTAATTAAATCTCCAGTTTTATTATTAAATTCCTTCAAATGTTCTGAAATATGCCCTTCCAGGAAAGCCCAAAAATCATTTCGTATTTGTTTTAGTTGACGCCAGGCATTGCCTAACTTGAAAAAAATTTTTCAAAAATTTTCAAAAATTTCAAAATTTCAAAAAATTTTTTCAAAAAATTTTCAAAAAAATTTTTCAAGAAAATTTTTTCAAAATTTTCAAAAAATTTCAAAAAATTTTTTTTAATTTTCAAAATTTTTCAAAATTTCCAAAAATTTTTCAAAAATTCTTAAAAATTTTTTTCAAAAAAATTTCAAAAAATTTTCCGAAAATTTTCAAAAAATTAAAAATTTTCAAAACTTCTAAACATACTTAAAAAAATTTTTGAAAAAAATTTTTCATAAAATTTTCAAAAAATTTTTCAAATTTTTCAAAAAATTCCAAAAATTTTCAAAAAAAATTTAAAAAAAAATTTCAAAAAAAATTTTTTTAATTACCAAGGGTAAATTGACAGTCCAAGGAAGGCATAAATACAAGCCCATAATTGGTTTAACTACCAAGCTAGACTGTTCATCTAACATTTGTTGTACTCGAATAAATGAGGGATCATCCTGAAATAATATTGAATAAATTTTTGTGTTTTTGTGTTTTTGTATTTTTGTGTTTTTTTTGTATTTTTGTGTCTTTGTGTTTTTTGTGTTTTTGTATTTTTGTGTTTTTGTATTTTTGTGTTTTTTTTGTATTTTTGTGTCTTTGTGTTTTTTGTGTTTTTGTATTTTTGTGTTTTTGTATTTTTGTGTTTTTGTATTTTTGTGTTTTTGTGTTTTTGTATTTTTGTGTTTTTGTATTTTTGTGTTTTTTTGTGTTTTTGTATTTTTGTGTTTTTTTTGTGTTTTTGTATTTTTGTGTTTTTTGTGTTTTTGTATTTTTGTGTTTTTTTGTTTTTGTATTTTTGTGTTTTTTTGTGTTTTTGTATTTTTGTATTTTTATGTTTTCGTATATTTTTGTATTTTTTTGTATTTTTGTATTTTTGTGTTTTTGTATTTTTGTGTTTTTGTATTTTTGTGTTTTTTTGTGTTTTTGTATTTTCGTGTTTTTTTTTGTGTTTTTGTATTTTTGCGTTTTTTTGTGTTTTTGTATTTTTGTGTTTTCTCTGTTTCTTGTATTTTTGTGTTTTCCTTGTATTTTTGTATTTTTTTGTATTTTTTTATTTTTGTATTTTCTTTGCATATCTTGTATTTTCTTTGCATATCTTGTATTTTATATTTATTTTTTCTTGTTACCACACATGAGCATATGTCCTGCTAAACAGAATACTGTTAATAATATTAGCAATACAGACAGCTACAGGTTTTGAAACATCAAAAGCTTCACTTGTTATATTCTTAGAAGAATCGAATTTTGTATTTAAATGGGTTATTAATGCACGAACTTCAAACTAAAAAAATTTTTTATATTCAAAAATCCCCCTTAGAAACCTTAATTTTTTCTTCCATCGCCGTCCTCCCAAAACCAAAATCTCTAAGAACGTGAAGGGAAAAACGTCTCTGTTCTCTCCATTTATCCCCCTGTATTTGAATAATTCCGTTGTGTCCGTCCATAAACATGTGGGTTATAAAATTCTGCCAACGACCAGAAAAGACATCTCCGTTGCGGATAAAATATTTTTTTAGTAGATCAACGTCGGATACCATAACCATCTTAAATTTGGAAATTTAAAAGGTAGAAAGTAGGGTGGAGGGAATATGTTCCGTTTGGACTAGAAACTGGGCTTAAAAGGACTAGGCTGAACTTTGACTAGAAACTAGGCTGAACCCTTCTAGACTTTGAATAAGGCTGAAGAGAACATGTATCCTTCAGACCAGGGTGTAGGCTGGAGAGATCATGCCCCGTTTAGACTAGAAAGTAAGCTGGAGGGAACATGCCCTGTTCTATAGAAGGTAGGCTGAAATGACGTTCCCTTTCGGACTAGAAAGTAGGATGGAGAACAGACAGTACATGTTCTCTCCAGCCTACTTCCTAGTCCGTAAGGAACATGTGGAAGTAAGCTGAAGAGAACATGTCCCTATCAGCCTGCTCCTTTCAGAGTAGGAGTAGGCCGGGGAGAACATGTCCTTTCGGAATAGGACGTAAACTGAGGGGAGCATGTTTCTTTCGGACTAAGATGTAAGCTGAGGGGAGCATGTTCCTTTCGGACTAGGAAGTAAGCTCAGGCGAACAGCCCCTTTCGAACTTGTATAAAGTAGACTGGAGAGAAAATATTACAAAAACACCTACAGGAATAGGTCCCATCCAAAAAGTAAAAATTCCACCATAATATTTGTTCCATTTTTGTAATAATAAGTCTATGTTAGATGCACCGTGTAAAAGAACTAAAAAATTTTTGAAATATTTAGAAAATCCCCCACCCTGAGGCATATTTCCAGCAACCAGCCAGGGGACAGGACCTGGAGGCAGGAAGCGTCTTTTCCAGTATACTTCATAAAATGAGTAAATCGAGAAAGATAGTAGGCATAGGAGGATTGTAAAGGATTTGGCTGTTAGTGAAAGAATGGATAAGAATTCCAGAATAGCCGGATTGACAGCATTCAAATTAATTTGTTTAAGGGTTAAAAATATGATTATAAGGCAGAAAATATGGAGTAGATTAATTGAGGTAGTTGATTTTCCTTGTGGACGATCCATTTAATTTTTTAATATTTAAAATAATTTTAAAATAATTTTCGATCAATCAACAAAAATAAAAGAGAAATCGCGGAGCTTTCCTCCCCACCTTTTCCTCAAATCATGTCAAATCCTTTTACATGCGCAGCAAACAAGTATGTCACGCCTTGGATATTTGGGGCGCGAATTTAGTCGGTTTTATTTGTTTTATGAGCTTTTATTTTTTAAAGAAAATGTGTGTACTTTTAAAGAAAATCTTAACAGAAATTTAAAAATAAAAAAAGTATCCGGATTGTGGAAGAAAGATTAAATTGAACGTGATAAGATAAAGATTTTTAGAAAAAATTGCGATTTTGTGCATCTTCAACACCCTCTAGTAAAACTTGAGGCTGTTCAAGAAAAAATTTTTCTTGCAATTATAACAGAAGAGTTCACACCAAAGACGAATGAGTTTTTTTTAAATTCACACCAGATACCATGACGAACCTGAGAAGGCTTGAGCAACATCAAGGATATCCCTAATTAGCTTGGGGCATCGAAGGTCGGGCCGTCCCGGTAAAAATGAAGCCCGAACTAAATAACTCAAACGACGGCCCGACTCGAAACCGCCCCAACCTCGGCGAGTGCAACCCTAGTCTCTGCTATTATTTATTTTTCATTTGAGAGAATCTATAGATTTATTTATTTTTTCTAATCTCATAAGATTATGTAATAAATATTGCACTTTTATGGATAAACAAAAGCCGGAAAAATTAAATAATATGACTTTATTGCGCAACCATTCTTTAAATATTTAATTTTAATTAAATAGAATTAAAAATACATAGTTAATAAAATTAAAAAAATATTTTTAAAAATGTCCAAAATTATTTTTATAAGTGTTATTTGCATTCTAAATATTTTTTTTATTCGCACAGACGTAAGAAATTCTTTTTTAATTTTTAAAACTAATATTGAAAATCGAAAGCAGGGTTAGGAAGGATATCAAAAGCAAAGCAGACTAACCCATCCCAGAGAATAGCAAAAGAATTGGATGGGACTTGGTTCTGATAGCTTTGCGGGTTGTTAGCTTTGCGGGAAAGCCTAGAGTCGAGAACGAGACCGAGAATTAACCCCGATATCGAGAGTCTCGACCATCACTAGTCAATTATCGCACCAACAACTGAACATCACTTTATTCTTGATTTAGTTGCTAGGCTGGGAGGGTTAAATACTAGCAGACCTTACAGTTAACGTCCCTTGATCTCCAGTTTTCATTCTTGCTTATTTGCCTGGATAGGAACCTTACTGACCCTGGAATAAATATTTTCTCATTTTTAAAATTCCTCAGGCCTTCAACGACTGTTCCGACAATTGTGGCTATGGAGAATATGATGGCTATGGAATGGGTAACGGAATGGGTAGTGGAATGATGTATCATGACAATTATAATAACACTCCTTATTGGTATGGGAACAATCACCATTTCCACCACCCCTATTCTTGGGGGTATCCAAACTATTTTCATGGTCCATATGGATTTGGTGGAAGATATGGAGGATATGGAGGAGGATATGGAGGAGGACATCCATTTTATTACAACAACTATCACCACCACAACTATTATCCTTATTATTGAAGCAAGAAATAATCATATAAAACTGATTGTTTAGATCGTACTAAGTTTTGGTAAGACGGATTTTTGAATGACAGAGTTTTGTCGGTCGAAGTTTTGTCTGTTCGAAGTTCTGCCCTGACACGGGGACGACGAGCTGGCCATTTATCTTTTAAGTCGTCTATAGAAATTTATTTGGTTTGTTCTAAAATAAAATGGAAAAAGGGTACGAAATAGTGAAACGAAATTTCGAACTTTCCTTGTTTAAATCAGGGATGTGCGTCATGGCGTTTTGGGTGTGCGTTTGGCGTGTTTTTAAAATTTGAAAAATTGGCGTTTGGCGCGCCACGCGAAAATTTTTGCGCACAGCTCTGGTCTAAACCTTTCGCAATGCACTTTCCTTTAATTTAGACATGCACTTTTATTTTTTTTTATGAAATGTAAAATAATTTTCCCAAAGTATTTTCCTCCATATTACTTAAATTAATTAAAATTAAAAATTTATCATTTTTGGCTAATTAGTAGTAAATAAAATTTTATATTAAATAAATTTTTTTAATTTATTATGAAACTTGATAGTATTCTAATAATTTTATCATTCAACGCGATTTTTTGGAGTTTAAATAATTCTGTTAAAAATAATAAAAATCAAAGCGAGTTTCCTAGAAATGAGGAAACCTCAATGGAAAACAATGGGGCTGGATCATCGGTTAAACCTCAAATTCAAAAAGATGATGCGTTAAAACCAAAACATAAAATTTCAAAAGGTACTTTTCCGCTTGGGAGCAGGCCAAGGTACCGCAAGCCCAAAGTAACACAGAGCTATAACTTTGTTCAGAATTGTCGAATCCTGGACTCCCTGGTAAGGTTCGATGCGCCGAGACGGGCCTAATCGAACCAGACCATTGCGTTCCGGATTCGACAATTCTAAACGAAGTTATAGCTATGCGGGTACCTTGGGCCGTCGGTACCTTGGCCTGCTCCCTATTAATAAAGTACCCAACTATAGACAATAAAGCAAAGCGTAATAAAAGTGAATATATGAAAATTTACCGTCAAAACAATAAAGAAAAGTTGAAAGAAGATAAACGAAAATACCGAGAAGCTAATAAGGAAAAGAGGCGGGAATCTGGTCGAAAATACCGAGAAGCTAATAAGGAAAAGTTGAAGGAATATAAACAAAAATACCGTGAAGATAATAAGGAAAAATTGAAAGAATATGACCTAAAATATAACCAAAATAATAAAGAAAAGAGGCGAGAATCTTATCAAAATTATTACCAAAAGAATAAAGAAAAGAGGCGAGAAGCTGATCGAAATTATTACCAAAAGGATAAGGAAAAGAGACGGGAAGCTGATCGAAATTATTACCAAAAGTATAAAGAAGCCCGAAAATACCAAGAAAAAATGAAAAATAAAAACGAAAACAATGAAGGAACTTATTTTGCTAATAAACAGAATAGTGATGTTAGAAATAAGGGTAAATTGCCAATCATTTACGAAGAGAGAATTCAATTTGAAGAAGATCTTCTTAATCAAGAGGAGGAAGAAATTAATAAAGACAAAACAGAAGCTCATGTGGATGAGCAAAATCAAACGGTGGTAGAAGAGCCAAATAAAATTCCCGAAAATTGCAAGAATCAAATAAATTTAAATGAGTATCCTTTTGATTTGAACGAGAAACCTGAGGATAGCGATGAAAATGATTACTAGAAAAGAAGATTGAAAGAGAGAAATTTTTTAAAGAAATTTTCCATTTAAAAATTTTGAAAATCAAAAAATTCTAACCTATAGTTAAAATTTTTTGTATTTAATAAATAAGTGGATATTACTTCTTAAGATTAAAGTTGACAGCAAACACTTTATTTAATACCATTTAACAATTAATAGGGTTCTACATCTAATTAAATTTAATTTCTCTTAAAATAAATTCAACTTTTGATATTATCAACCACAACCCATCGATTAATAAGGCATTATCTTCTAACATCTTCTTAACATAATTATCAGATTCAATTATTATAGCAACATCATTAGTGCTATAGATTTTATTAACCTCTATGAGGGCTTTTGCCATTTGTTCTTTGATCTAAAATATAATTCAAAAATATAGTATATTTTTCGTGGAATTGTCGACTCGGAACCGTGCGAGGACCAAGCCGGAAGTACATCGATCTTTGTTTCGGTTCTGAATCGACAACTCTAGTATGTATATTTTTAAAACCATATCAACTTCTTTGTCTATTAGCTTAAACACATCAATATTATAATTCATTATAATTCGAAGATTAAAATTAAAAATAGAAAAATCTGAATTGAAAAAATATAATTTGTTTAAAATAAATTTATATTTGACCGAAAACCGGAGATCGAAAACAAATTTTCTTTTTCCTTCAAAAGAAAAGGAAACGTGTCTGTGTAAAGGGCAGTGAGTGAATGAGAAGAAATGAGGGCCGATAACAGAAGGTACCCGCGCCGCTGAAAATCAAAATCTTTGGCGCCAAAATCACTGTATTTTATTTCTAGATTTGATTATATATTCTATAAATTCTTTAAAATTATGGGTGCTTGTGTATAATGCACGAAAAATAAACCAGAAATTTACCCTTGAGAAAGAAATTGTCTTGAGTCTTGTTAATTTTTGGTCTTGAGTCTTGGTTTCAAGTCTTGGTTTTGAGTCTTGGAAATTTTCGGTTTCGGACGCCTCCAGTTCGGTTTCGGACGCCTCTTTTGTATATTTCGTTTCTCAACGAAATAATTTTTTTGGTTTGTTCCGAAATGAAATGGAAAATAGTAGTTTCAACGGAACTGATATTTTGACAGGAGCCGGATCCTATTTTTCCTGATCCCGAAACGGAACCAAAAAAACGGAACTTTCCGGAACTGGAACCGTAACTTCCGGTGAAACTCAAGAAAAAAGGGTACGAAATGGCGAAACGAAATTTCGTTAATCACTTGTTTAAATCTTTCTCAATGTACTTTCCTTTAATTCAGACATGCACTTTGTATTTTTATTATGAAATCTAAAATAATTTTCCCAATGTATTTTCCTCCATATTACTTATTTAAATTAATATAAAAAATTAAAATTTATCATTTTTGGCTATTAGCAGTACATAAATTTTATTTTAAATAAATTTTTAAAATTGATTTATGATGAAACTTGGTAGTATTCTAATAATCCTAACACTCAACGGTATTTTTTGGAGTTCAACTAATTCTGTTAAAAACAATAAAAATCAAAGCGAATTACCCAGAGTTGGGCAAACCTCAAAGGACAACGATAGGGCTGAATCATCGTTTAATCCTCAAATTCAAAAAGATGAGGCGTTAAAACCAAAATATACAATTTCAAAAGGTACTTTTCCGTTACTGAGTGCTAGCCGATTTTGATCGGCTTTAACTTTTTAATGCTTGATCCAATACAAATGTTTTTATATCATTCGAAAGCCCTCAATGACCTGTATATTTTTTCTAATAGGATAGTGTAGTGTACTAAACTAGATCAAATTCGGATATTTTATTTAGTCCAAATTTTACTCTTAATTTTATGAGGATTTATTCATATTAATTTACTATGCTTTCGAAAACAAATTTCCTGATCGATCAAGCTGGATAAAAGGTACCGCTTAGCGAGGGCTTTAGAAAGATATAAAATTCATTTGTATAGGATCAAGTATCTAAAAGTTATAACCGATTAAATTCGGTTTACTCTCAGTTCGCGGTCGTATAACGGAAAAGTACCTTTCAAAAACAGGCAGAACATCTATAGATAATATAGCTAATAAGGAAAAGAGGCGGGAATATGATCGTAAATACCGAGAAAATAATAGAGAAAAGAGGCGGGAATCTGCTCGAAAATACCGAGAAAATAATAGAGAAAAGAGGCGAGAAGCTGATCGAAGATATAACCTAAATAATAAAGAAAAGAGGCGAGAATCTTGTCGAAATTATTACCAAAAGAATAAAGAAAAGAGGCGAGAATCTTGTCGAAATTATTACCAAAAGAATAAAGAAAAGAGGACAGAATATTTCCAAAATTATCGAGAAGAAATGAAAAATAAAAAGGAAAATTTAAAAAATGTTGATCCGAAAGTAAGAAATATTCATTCTGATAAAAATGAAGGAACTTCTTTTGTTGATACACAGAATAGTGATGTTAGAAATAAGGGTAAATTGCCAATCATTTACGAAGTGGGCATTCAATTTGAAGAGGGAAGTCTTTTTAATCAAAACGAGAAAGGAAGTAATCAAGACGAAACTAAAACTCATGTAGATGAGCAAAATCAAACTCTGGCAGACGACCCAAATAAAATTCCCGAGAATTGCACGAATCAAATAAATTTAAATGAGCATCCTTTTGATTTGAACGAGAAACCCGAGGATAACGATGAAAATGTTTGCTAGAAAAACAACTAAAAGAGAGAATTTTTTTAAATTTTTCAAAGAGCAAATAAAGAATTTTACGGAGCAGTTCAACTGAGTCCGCACGATTGAGTCCCCACGATTGAGTCCGCACGATTGAGTCCCCACGATTGAGTCCCGGCACAATTGAGTCCCCACGATTGAGTCCGCACGATTGAGTCCCCGTTGTATATACCTCAATTGAGTCCCCGTTAAAAATTCCCGGTAGGAATTTTTATTTTCCTAGATTTTTTAATTGTTTTTTTTTTATTTTTTTGTTTTTCTTTTGGGGTTTGCAACTAATTTTGTTAATTAGTTGACCGAGCATCCACTCAAGTCCATCCGAGCACTGAATTTTCTCAATGAGGACGAGAGGATCCCCGCTTAAATCTACTTATATCCCCGCTTAAATCCGATATCCCCGCTTAAATCTACTTATATCCCTTGATATTCACCAATATCCATCTTGATACCTCGATGTCGCATACAAGTCCCCTGATATTAACATTAATCCCTCCAAATCCCCAAATATCCCTCTTAATCTTTTTTAATATAATTAAATCTAGGGGAATCAATTGAGGTATATACAACGGGGACTCAATCGTGCGGACTCAATCGTGGGGACTCAATTGTGCCGGGACTCAATCGTGGGGACTCAATCGTGCGGACTCAATCGTGGGGACTCAATCGTGCGGACTCAATCGTGGGGACTCAATTGTGCCGGGACTCAATCGTGGGGACTCAATCGTGCGGACTCAATCGTGGGGACTCAATCGTGCGGACTCAATCGTGGGGACTCAATTGTGCCGGGACTCAATCGTGGGGACTCAATCGTGCGGACTCAATCGTGGGGACTCAATCGTGCGGACTCAATCGTGGGGACTCAATTGTGCCGGGACTCAATCGTGGGGACTCAATCGTGGGGACTCAATTGTGCCGGGACTCAATCGTGGGGACTCAATCGTGGGGACTCAATCGTGCGGACTCAATCGTGGGGACTCAATCGTGCGGACTCAATCGTGGGGACTCAATTGTGCCGGGACTCAATCGTGGGGACTCAATCGTGGGGACTCAATTGTGCCGGGACTCAATCGTGGGGACTCAATCGTGGGGACTCAATCGTGCGGACTCAATCGTGGGGACTCAATCGTGCGGACTCAATCGTGGGGACTCAATCGTGCGGACTCAATCGTGGGGACTCAATTGTGCCGGGACTCAATCGTGGGGACTCAATCGTGGGGACTCAATTGTGCCGGGACTCAATCGTGGGGACTCAATCGTGGGGACTCAATCGTGCGGACTCAATCGTGGGGACTCAATCGTGCGGACTCAATCGTGGGGACTCAATTGTGCCGGGACTCAATCGTGGGGACTCAATCGTGCGGACTCAATCGTGGGGACTCAATCGTGCGGACTCAATCGTGGGGACTCAATCGTGCGGACTCAATCGTGGGGACTCAATCGTGCGGACTCAATTGAGGTGTACCGAGAATTTTATTTACTTTAAATTTAAAAATTATTTTTGCTGTTGTCGCCGAAGCGACGTCTGCGATGAAATTAATAAATTTAAATATTCTTGATTAATTATTTGGTGACCTTTTGCACCGTCTATTTTTTTTAATCGTTTGTCTTTTGCCCGATAACTTTAATGTTAGCCACACCCTTTTGTGCTAACCCCATTTCTGATCGCTTCTCCATTAGCTTAATCATTTTATTTATTTATAAGTTTTAAGCTATTTTTAGCTTTTGTGTCTCTGTATTTTCTCCTTCATTTAATCATTTTTCCCCACCTGCATTTATTTATTTTTTACTTAGGTTTTGGCCTTTAAATTATTTTCATCTTTACATTCAATTTACTTTCTGGCCAAACTTAAGTCTATTATTTTTCACCTAATTCCTAAATATTTCTAATTAGGTTTCTTCAATTTATTCTAAATTTTAACTCTTTAGGCCTCGCATCATTTAATTCTAACTTATCTAAAACTGAGGCCTAAAGACCACCTTTTTTACCAAGTTTAAGGCCATTTTCAATTAATCACTTTTTAATCATTCTATGGCCTATAATCATTTTACTCTTTTTCACCCATTTTCGTTTGTTCGGTTTAATTACCCAAGTTTAAGGTTCTCGTAAATAAATATTTTAATTTGTGTATTCTTTCTTTGCTTATTTGGTATTCCGACAATTGCCGCCCTTAGGCATTATTATTAGCTCGCCAATAGAGCTTTGGTTCCGTCCACTCGCCCTAGAGAGTTGGACCACATTTTTGGAGAATTAAGGGACTTCCCGGGACAATCTAATTCAATTCCCGACAGTGCGGTTTCACACCTTGTCGCGCCGCACACCGAATTTTCTTCAGCGACAAACTTTATGGTGCCACGACCCGGGACCCTCTTCTCTTCATTCTTTTTATCAATTAAATTTAAATAATTTTTTCTTCTGTTTAATCTCCCTACAGGCAAATCTACACAACACTTCTCAACCACCCAAATCTACATCTTCACACAACACTTCAATCGACTCTTCAAACTCCTCAGCCACCTCATCACTTCCATAACAATTCTACATTCAACACTACTCTTCTATCAATCGTCACTTCATTCCTACAAATCAACTCTATTTCTACCAAAATGTCATCAGGACCAATCCGTCAAATGATCGGCCCAATTATCAAGCTCCTCAAGAATTACATCAATGAAGCACAAAATATCATCACGTCGCCACAGGATCTACTAGAAGAGAACCAGCTACAACGTCTCCGCACACTCCGCAAACAGTTGAGCTGCAATACCGTAAGAATTGAAGGTTTAAATCGGGAGTGGTTAGAATTTATGGGAAAAATCGACCCGGAAAACCTAGTAAGGGAAGAAAGGATTTATGATAACTTCCAACGCCCGGCGGATAATGACCCCCTTTATCGTCATTTCACCGAATGGGTTGCCGATGCCCAGGCAATGGTCTTCACTATCGACGACATAGTCGAGCGGGATAGCACATCGGGAAATCTACAGTCAAGGGCAAGGTCCCGTAGTGCTTCTCTCCATTCCGGACAATCACAGAATTCCCAGCGGCCACTCGCTCAGGATTTACCGCGCAATCCGGCTTACGACTCGTTCAAAATCGCACCCATGGAAATTCCGAAGTTTTTTGGGGACCCTGAAAAATGGACAAGCTTCTGGCAATGCTTTGAGTTGGCCATCCACAATAACCCGAATATTCCGGACGCGCTGAAAATCCATCATTTGTGTAATTCGCTCAAGGGATCAGCCGAGGCAACCGTCCAAGGATTCCCGAGAATAGCAGAGAATTACCCAATTATAGTAGAATGTTTGAAAGGGAGATACGGTAGCACCCGCAACCTAAGGGAAACCCTCCAATCAGAGCTCCTTCAATTGCCAGCTACAAAAGACACCGCCGACTCACTTCGCGCCTTTTGTGACAATATAGAAAGAATTTGCAGGCAATTGGAATCCAATTTTAGAACAAAGGAAGACGCGTCTCTCTTAGTCACCACTATTAAGGCCAAACTTCCATCCACCCTTATTGAAAAAATCATAGAAAGGGAGCGAAGTACAGCTGTAGGCGAATGGACACATAAAGAACTTAGGAATTTCCTCCTTGAACAAGTGGCCATAAAAGAAGAGGTGGAAAGGAGTACAAAAAGGCTAAAAGGACAGTCAATTAGAATGGATGAGCGCCAGTCGACTCCCCAACAAAAGAGTCACCGACCGACACATTCCAAACCAGCTAACTTTACCCGCGCCTTTGCAGCTATTGAAAGGAATTCTGGCCAATGTTCACTTTGCAATGGCGGTCACCTTCCTTCTGTTTGCCGCAAATTCCAAACACCCGATAGCCGCAAAAATCGCTTAATAGCTCAACGCAGGTGTTTAAATTGCCTACGCGAGGGACACCAAATAAGCCAGTGCGAGTCACCGAAAAGATGTAGAAATTGTGGCGACAAGCACCATTTCATCATCTGCACCCGCCAAAGGGGGAGAGAAAATAATGGAATGACTCTTCAGTCTACCAGCCAGCAGCCGCATTCTTTTCAAAGAAATTCAAACTTTTCAATTCGTTCTACGCAACAGCCAGCGCAAATTTATACTAATTCGCGAATGACTTCCGAAAATCTACCCGGGACAAATCCGAATGTTCCCGCAAACCCGGAAATGGCTATGACTGCTACCGAGTCGAAACCGCATACTTTTTTGATGACTTGCGAATTAGCAATCAGCTCGGGAAATAACCGTCCAATTTATACTACTGTTGGTCTCTGGGACACCGGATCTCAGACTTCCTACATTTCTCAATCTCTGGTCGACCGTTTAAGACCACCTAAGGTTTCTACCTCCAACCACTCCGTACGCGTTTTTGGCGCCGAGACAGTCAAATTTCGCTCTACCGGATATAAGATTAGGCTCCATAAGCCCAACGGGAGATGGGATGAAGCTGTATTCTGCTCAATTCCGCAAATCGTCCCTGCATTTCCTTGTATTCAATGGGATGGAACTCGGATCCCAACGAATCACCGAGACTTACAAAACACTCCCGTCAACAATAGGGAACCGGAAATTCTACTAGGAGTTAGAGAGTTTTGGAGATTTTTCCTCGGATCCAGGAAAATAGGAAAAAATCTGCACATTATAAGGACTCACTTCGGCTCAATGCTCTGCGGTGAATTACCCTACTATGTTTCACCTACCTCTTTAACCTGCATTTCTCTTGCCGCCGTGCACAGCTCACCGGAAGAAATGCCCGCCAATAATGAAATAGAACAATTTTGGAACCTTGAGTCTATGGGCATTACAGACAACCCCGAGAATAAGGACGACGAAATCGCCACTAGATTAGTCGAACAGTCCATAACACAGGACCCTGACGGGAGATATACGGTCGGACTTCCTTGGAAATCATCAGAAGGAACTTCGGGACCCCCGTCGGAATTACCCTCCAACTTTGATATGGCTTATAAACGCCTATCTTCCGTACTCAAGCGAATAGAATGGGCGCCCAACATAGCCCAGGAATACCAGAAAGCAATAGAGGACCAACTTAAACGCGGAGTAATTGAATTCACTCGATGCAACCCAGACATGCAGGAACACTTCCTTCCACACCATGCAGTCTTTAATAAAGGGAAAATCCGTCTAGTATACGATGCAAGCGCTCATCCAAAAGGACATCCCTCACTCAATCAATCACTCTTTCGAGGACCAGTTTTACTCCCGAATCTAATTAACCTACTACTACGTTTTCGGGCAACTAAAATCCCAGTTTTGGCCGACATCGAAAAGGCCTTTCACCAAATCTCATTAATTGAATCGGATCGAGAATTCTGTAAATTCCTATGGTTAAAAAACTTGGACCAACCTCTTTCGCCGTCCAACTTAGCCGTGTACCGATTTAAAAGAATTGCATTTGGGATTATTAGTTCCCCGTACATCCTAGCGGCCGTAATTAGGCATCATCTTTCAAAGGAGCAAACCGACCTGTCCAACGCAATAAAAGAGAACATTTATGTAGATAATGTTCTCTTAGAATGCGACACAATAGAGGAGGCGCTTAGTAAATGTAAAGCGGCTAAACAAATTTTCGCGACTGCCAAAATGAACCTGCGGGAATTCTGTACTCACAACGCTGCAGTTTTGGACCAAATCGCCCCGGAAGACCGCTTAGAACAGGACATCCCAAGAGTCCTTGGAATTAATTGGGATCTGCAACAGGACACGCTTCAGATTAAATTCCCGCCACTCTCAAAACCAATTACTCGCCGCACCGTACTCGGCACAATTTCTTCGTGTTTTGACCCAATGGGATTAGTCGGCCCTTGCCTTCTCCCTGCCAAGGCATTTTTCCAACATTTATGGACTTTAGAAAATTTTGAGTGGGATAGTGTTTTACCCTCAGACGAATCTAAGACTTGGGAGAAATTATTGATGGATTGGAGCACCGAAATTTCAATCCCTCGTCTCGTCCTTCACGGGAACTCACCAACCGTCCAAATCCATACATTTACCGACGCCTCAGACTTTGCCTTTGGGACTGCTGTTTACTTGCGAAGCGAAAGCAATGAGGAGGGGAGAATTAGCACCTCTTTAGTCTTCTCGAAAAATCGTTTGCGCCCATTGAAAGCAAACTCAAAACTCACCATACCGCGATTGGAGCTACTAGGAATTTTAGCGGGAGTCAGAGCAGACAAATTCGTCCATAAGGAATTGCACCGGGAAATAGATAAAACATTCATTTGGAGTGACTCAACCATTGCCCTTAGCTGGCTTAAAAATGTGGACCATCAGCCGGTCTTTATAGCGAACCGAACTAAGGAAATTAGGACTTTATCTAATTGCGAGTTTCGCTACGTCAATACAACGGAAAACCCGGCAGACCTAGTTACACGGGGAAAATCTCCCTCAGAACTACAATCCAACCATCTCTGGTGGCACGGCCCCACTTGGCTCTCAAAACCCGAAATTGAGTGGCCCACTGGATTAAGTCTTGAGTTCAATACAACCGACTCTACCGAGGAGACGGCATTCACCAACACCATAGTCAATATCGAGGGAAAGACAGAAACACCCAAAGCGGATGACTTGATCGACTTTAAGCGATTTAATTCATGGGATAAAATTAGACGAACTACCATTTGGGTCCTTCGATTTTTACAATCCACATTCATTAAAATTGGCCGCGAACCTTCTTGGCTTATAAAAAATCGCCGCCCAGATCAGACCTGGGCGAAACTCAAAATTTTTTTCTGACGAAACGAAACGAAACAAAATTTTTTAAAAATCGTTTCGTTAACGAAACGAAACGAAACAACCAAAATCTTACGAAACGAAACGAAACAAAACGAAACATTTTAATATTCAAAAAATTTTCAAAACTGCATTTATTTCGAAATTATTCGACCTCAAATACGTTATTAGTCGACTATGACTTATAAATGATTTAGTTATTGGTTTATTTACAACAATTGTGTCCCATAAGCCAGGCCCGTAGCAAGGAAAATTTTCGGGGAAGGGGGGGGGGTCAATCATTTTCGAAGCCAAATTTTTGGCGACGCTTTTTTTTAAATAAAATTGAATATTTTTCAAGTAAAATTTTATTTTAAGCGCCGCAGACGAAAAATTTTAAAATTTTGAAAGGCCGTAGGCCAAAAAATTCACCATCTTGCTCCATTGCCTACCCAAATTGTCTCCATATCTCCATTTCGAGAGGAAGGCGATATAAGCTAGTGCTTCGCCGGAAGTTCCGGTTCCAGTATTTCCGCAACTCGCAATCCGCAATTTTTAAATTATGATGCGAGTCCGGTAATAGAATTTGTCGTCGATTAAGTAATATGTATATGTGGATTAGGGAGTGGAGTATAAACGGATTTGTAGTATATAAGTAATTGCTATCTTCCTTTTTCAGCGCCGCAGGCGAAAATTTTGACAATTTGGGAAAGCCAAGAAGCCGAAATTCTTTTTTTTTCAGCGCCGCAGGCGAAAATTTTTTAAATTTTCAATAAAAGATGGTAAATTTTATAGATTTTGGCCTTAGTTTAGGCTTAAAAAATTGTTTCGTTTCGTTGAAAAATCACAGGTGTTTCGTAACGAAACGAAACGAAACAAATTTAAAAGTGTTTCGTAACGAAACGAGACGAAACAGTAAAAATCATACGAAACATACGAAACAACGAAACGAAACGAAACGTTTCGCCCACGTCTGGCCCAGATCTTCTCTCTATTTCTCAAGCGACTAGCAGAGAAAAAACTGCATTCTCCGCAAATGATTATCTAATCGCAGGCTGCCTTCTTATAAAGATTGCGCAACAGCAAAATATAACCGAGATCGAGCGCTACCCACTGGAAACCGGCCAAAATGGTTTACTTCTTCTAAAGACGCGAATTGCGCAACAAATCGAGTGCCCAACATTAGCTCGCCTTATTATTTTGCCTCGCACTTCTCATCTAAAATTTCTCATCATTTCTGACATTCACCAAGAATTAACTCATGGAGGGATAGACATTACTCTAACCGAATTTCTTTTTAAATATTGGACGCCCAATGCCCGAAAAACAGTCAAAACAATAATCCGAACCTGTCTGAAATGCGAGAGAATGCGCGCTTATAAATATGCTTTACCTCATTTTCCACCTTATCCTAAAGATCGTGTTTTTAGAAAAATGATTTTTGAGTCCGTAGGACTCGACTATGCCGGACCATCTTCTGTCCGAATTAATGGAATTATTACAAAATTTTATTTATTATTATTTTGTTGCTTAACGACACGTGCTATTCATTTGGAAATCACCTTAAGCCAATCAGCCGAGGCCTTTATGAATGCTTTTCAACGTTTCATTTCTCGTCGAGGAAAACCAAAGCGTGTCATCAGTGACAATGCTCCTTCCTTTATTTTGGCCGACAAAACAATCGACTTTCTCATCAATGAGC